ATGGCATTCAGTGATTTGCGAGTTGCTGTATTATCATTTTCAGGATTATCGCCGACCTGTGCAGACCAATTGAAGATTTTAAACGATGAAGTTATTGGTAAACTTCATGAAATATTGAATGTGAATGAAACTGAATCCATAGAAGATTTGTCCTTAGTTGCTACAACAAAGTATGTTTATTGATGACTGTTTAGTATAAAATAATGTTATAATTATCTTGAGCAATATAAAAGAAAAGATTTATAGGAATGATTTATTTTGTTTCTGTTAAATTTTCTAATTTTCTGAACTCTTGTTTACTGATTTTTTTCATTATTATATTTTCTTATACACTGACTGAAATATTATTTTAGTATTACAATTCGTTACAATTGTTCTTCAGAAATAATATTTCTAATAATAGTATTAGCTATTTCATAGTTAGTATTTGCATTCCTGAATTATAACAAACTCATAAATGTTTGTATTATTTTAATGTTTTATTAGTACACCGTTAAATAAAAACCTGACATGTTCTTCAAATATTGATGCTTTTGATGGTACCAACTTACTCCCGTCTGAACTAGAATCAGCAAGTAATTATAACTGTTCTTAAATGTAACATAGATTAAATAAATAGTTGTTTGTTTGTTTTGATTTTTAAAGTTCATTTCAAAACTTTGTTAAACTTCTTTACCAATATTTAAAATATATTTTTACTAACACCATTTACATTTTAGAAAAATCTTTTACATTCAATGAAAAAAATCAAGTTGTTGTTTATACGGATGGTGCTTGTTCAAGCAATGGCCAAAAAGGAGCATCTGCAGGGGCAGGAGTATGGTTTGGAAATGATCATCCTCTGTAAGTGTTTTTTGTGATAAATCATGTTTTAGTCTAATATTGATATTAATACTTTTATTAGGAATTTATCAATAAAAGTACCTGGAACACAAACTAATAACAATGCAGAGATATTTTCTACTATTAAAGCAATTGAACGTGTTTATTCTACTGGTAATTAACAAAAAAAATTATTTTTGCAAATTGTCCAAACAGTGTTAATTTATGTTTAGGTCTCACTAGAATAAGCATACACACAGATTCTGATTTCGTCATTAAAAGTGTAAATGAATGGATGCCACGTTGGTTGTCTAAAGGATGGAAAACCAGTGCAGGTGCTGAAGTAAAAAACAAAGAAATGTTTATGATATTAAATAAAAGAATCCAGTCCATGGATTCTGTTAGCTGGGTAATATAAATACAACTTTCTTTAAATTTTGTTTTATGTTTAATAAAGATTTTATTTTTAGACGTATGTTCCTGGTCATAAAGGGATTACCGGTAACGAAGAAGCTGATAAGTTAGCCAGGATAGGGGCTAAGATGTAGGGGCAAACGTTTTAAATTAACTTCACTTTTGTTATTAACCAGTTAAATTTGTATATTTCTTATTTCAAATTAACGACGAACAAATGTGGATTTTTACAGTCTCATATCAATTTTGTATCCATTTATTCAATAGCGATAATGTGAGACAAGCAAGATTCAGTTTATGTATGTATATTTAAAAAATAAAAACAAACATTTTATACTTAAAAGAATGAGAATGTATTATTTCTTATATCAGTTTTAACAAAATACATATTCATAGCCAATAATACGTTATTTGTTTATTTAATACATAAGTTGATTTTGTATTATTAATTTAAGTCTTGCATGGAGATATATTAAAATTAAGTTACAGTCGTTGCCAGATAGATTGAGACGGTGGCGGTGGTGCGTTAACGGAAAACCAGTGGTTCTCCGTATTTGAATATTATTACTGAAAATACATCAATAAACCAACAATTGTCACAAAAATTATTTTACAATATTAATTTAAAATCAAATATTCTGATAATAGTCCTTTATTTAAGAACAAAAAGTAGAAATTGTAAAATAATATAAATAATATAATAATTATAATAAATAAAGTTTTTTGCACTGAGCCGGGTTCGAACTGGTGACTGTGCGCGTCATAGCCAACTGTGTGACGTTTGCACCACACTGCCAGCGACTAGCTTAGGCTACACTTACTGAAAAGCGCAGCCGCCACCGTCTCAAATTATCTGGCAAAGACTGTACCAAAGCTTTTTTTTCTAATAGTCAACATTTATTTTTATTTTGTAGATTGAATTATAGTGTCACATCATATGTCTAGAAAGCACCAATTCCGCATATTCAAAAAGTATCTGTTTTCTAATATTTAGATTTGGCAACATTTAAATAAACTTCAATAAAAATTAAAAGCTTATTAGGTATTAAATATATTTTATATCCTTACTTCTGCTATGTAGAATGTTGATATTTTCAGGTCTAGCTGCCAACGTTGATACACTATTGTTATGTTTTGAACAGAATACATTTAAGTCACGAGGCTTGGAGTAACTTTAACCAGACCATAATATTTGTGAACTATAGCATCATGTGTTTTAAATATTGAACGGATTAGTAAAAATGTATTGATTTTACAATGGTGTGTTTTGTTATTATTTTTTTTTCAGTCATCACTTTTTGCCTTTTAGGGTAGTATAAATGCTTAATTTTTTTATTCAGCATCTTTCCTGGTAGAAAAGTGAATCTTGTTAGTACTTAGAGGTATAAAAGTAAAAATTCCTAGTGGATTTCAAGTGTCAGGAAAAACCAATAAAAATTTCACCAAATGTTTATAATTTTATATTAGTATTTTCTAGTTTTCTACACACCATAACATTTTAAAAATATTTAGACTTTTTGAGCTATTTATTGTCATTTATAGGTTTATGAAAATTTCAATATTTATCAGTTTCTTTTGAATTATTGTCGATAAAAAAATTTCCGCTGGTCAAAAACTCGAAAATTAAAAACAATAATCCTCAAAAGTTTTTCTACTTTTAACAAACAAGTTTAGGGATAAGTTAATTCAATTTTTATGAGCGTTTGAATCATCCATAAGCTAACAATTATTTTTCATGGAATTATTTTCCTGTAATTCAAAAACTATTAACTGTAGATACTTGAAATGATCAGTTATTTTTTATAGGTACTTAAGAGAATATCATGCCCCACGGGTACCCGATATATTGTCTCCGTCTTATTAACGCATAATATACCAAAATGTTCGTCCAGCCAGTAGTGTACCGATGGGCGTCATATCCCCCCATGGGGGAAAACATTTTGTGCATAATACAACATGTAAATGATAGTATGAATATAATGTGTATACTGAATGTCTATTAAAAACTCCTTAGAAAAATCCTAGATACGCTACTGTGCCAGCTGTTCTAATTTTGTATTGTTAGCTTAAATAATATAGTGAAATGATATATTAACAAATTTAAATTTAAGAACATTACCTGTGTTCTCTCGTTGGTTTTTTATGATATTTTAATTTTTAAGTAAATTATGAGTGTGTAAAATATACTTATTTAAAAATTAAAATACGGAAAAACCAGCGAGAGAACACAGTTAATGTTCTTACATTTATGTTAACAACAGAAAATTAGAATTTTTTTTCTACGCTTATTGAAGCTTAATTATTTAAACGATAATTTGTGGATAATCCCATTCTTGATAATTATTTTGAATCTGGGGGGCCGGAGTACATTTAAGGGGTGGTCCGCCCACCATGGCCCCCTCTGGCTACATGCTTGGCAAAAGCTATACCTATACATATAGGTATAATACATTTTAAAATATAATATAGTATATACCGACAGTCTCCGCACTCTGCACATAATCGTATTGTTATACGCAATGATTGAATGGTTTATTCAGATTATTAGATTCAAATTGAATATATCCATTACAGTGATCTGTTAATTTAAAAGGTTCACCTAACACCTGAAATGCAGCAGAGCAAGTGTCCTGATTTTTTTTTATAAATATTTTTAAAAGTTAAGAACTAAGTTCAATCAGAATTTGTAAAACTGATCGGATTTAAAAGTTATAGAATATAATTTTAGTTTATCCATGATAAACATAACATGGTATGATCGGAACTTTTTGTTTGTCAGATCTTTCAATAGGCACATAGGGTAGCATACCTAACTATCGTAATAATATTTTTATTATATGGGTAAACAAGTTACTTGTTGCATAACTTGAACCAAATGAGGACTTTTGCAATCATTGTTCAACGTTTAAATTATTATCATGAGTTTACCAATAAAAATTTTAACTTGTAATCACATCATATTTTTATTTTTATTTAAATTATAAATAAAATATTGTTGCCAATGATCAGACAACACCCTTTTGTCACTCCACCATGTTAACTATTTATACAACTGCCGTGTAGTATTGTTTAGTAGCTAGCCGCTGCAGGCGTTTCTTATTTTGAACAGAGCATACATTACACAGCTTATTACGATTTAGGATTGTATACAAATTTGTTCTAACATAATTTTAAAATCTAATATAAAACTAACAATTAACATTAAATAAGATTCCTACTACCTACTTTTATTGATTTAGTTGTCTAAACAAATAGTAATAACTAAGGAACAAGTGAAAACCTAAGTTTTGAAATATATTTGAATTTAAAACGAATGAATAATGTTTTTATAATTAACATTAATTTTTCCATCAGCAGAAAAATTCTAATTTGTACATGTTATAAACAGACTATTTTAAATGTCAGAACATTAGTACAAAAATGATCATCTATCCAGCATAAATCTTAGTATTGAGTATTATTTGGAACAGAAGATTTATTTTACCATTTAATTTGAAAATTGTATAAAATAATAGTTTCAAATAATAAATAATTACAATTTAGTTAGAAATATTGAGTACATAATATATATTATATAATATAAATAAGTGTATTCATAATTTAATTTATCAATAATTTACTAAAAGTAATTACACAGGTATAAATTTTTATTATCATTTACTTTTTCTAAACACACCATTGTTATCTAATAAAGTTGGGTTTGAAAATAAAGTGCTTTATAATTAATACATATTATATAAAAGAAAAAAAATCAAAGTCATAAATTAAAAACCTCCTCTAAAGTTACTATTAGGTTGAGGCGCTTGGAATCCATAACTACTCGCATAACCAGGAGGTGGATTGCTCATATTAGGTATTTGAACGGGCGGCTGCGACACAAATGCTGGTTGATGTTGACTAGTAGGTTGGTGCTGAGTTACTTGACTATTATTGCTATCACCCCATCTGCTTGCTCTTTCACGACCCGGAGCAGTTCCATTGTTATTATTACTCATAATGCTGTTAACAGGATTAGTTCCTGTAAACCCACTACGACCTCCCTGATTTCCGCTTGTATAGCTATCACGACTAGAACTATGACTTCCACCCAAGTAACCACCTCGACTTCCTCCTCTATATGTACCTCGGCCACCACTACTATAGCTTCCACGACTACCATGGTCATGATTACCACGGCCTCGATTATTTTGTCCACCACGATCACGGCTACGATTGGTACGGTCCACTAAAACATTTAGGACATAATTAATATTCAAAGAATCAAAGGTCTTAAACTATTTAATGGAACATACTCTTTCCAAACACTCCAGCAGCAGCCATTTCTGCAAGTTCAAAAAGCTTTGGATTGACCACTTGTTTAGCTTCTTGTAGGACAGATATGAGATCTTTGGCTTGACGAGCATTGCTGGGGGTAACAAATGTGAATGCTGTTCCAGTACGGCTAGAACGACCAGTTCTACCAATACGATGTACATAATCCTCGGAAGAATTTGGGTAATCAAAATTTATCACATATTTGACATCATCCACATCTAATTAAGAATAAAATATTCAATTATTAATACTTAACAAATCAAAATAAAACTACAGAAGATGGATAATAAAATGTATTTCATTAATAAAAATATATAATATAGTAGATCAAAAAAAAATTAAATAAGCAATAATTATGACAATTTTAAATTAATTTTATTTAAAAAAATTTACAAATTATAAAATTATTCATTATTCGTATACATTTTTATGAATATTCAGTTCTCTAAAATAGTTATTCTAATGCAATAACCAAAGGTGGGCATTAACTTGTTAAAAAGTTAAATTTTTTCAATTTTTATTGTTGTAAATTAACTTTTTATAGTTAATTATCATTGTCTTGCAGTTAAGTTAATTTTCTTTTCAAATCATGCTTAATCAACTAGACAATACTGATTCGTTGACTCTTATACGATTTTGGTCATTTATTTTCAAATTATATATTATAACAATCTAAATGTTTGTGCATAACAAAGTACTATGGCGGTTTATGACATAAAAATATTGTACCTTCAAAAAAATTCATTTTTTATAACTGAGATAAGTTAATTTTATTTTCTACCTTAACTTTAAACTTATCTAGCTAAATTTTTTTCTTTGTTAACTTTTAACTTAACCGGAGGCAATTTAATTGAATTAACTTAACTTGTCACAGTTAATTATTTTCATTAACTTGCCCACCATTGGCCAATAACATTAATAATTTAATAAAAAAAATCATTTTAGAATCAATACAGGTAACCTATGCAGCGAGTGTTAGGCTTAACATAAAGAATAAAAATATACCAGTGATCCTGGTATACCATTTGACTGTATTAAAATGTGACTATGCCCGGATGTAATGCATACAATTTACTTTATTGGAAATACTTAGATTAGAGATTTCCTTTCTATGTGCTATTATTATGAAGAAAGCATATGCATGACAGCAGGTGGTTTTTGGGTCACACGTTGCGTAAATGCAACAGCATTAGATAGGTATTTTTAAGTATCATTTATATTCTGTATGATTAAAAACGGAAAAACATATCTTGTAACCCTAGTTATGTTGAAAACTTGTATTAAAAATTACATTGTATTACATTTAAGTAATTGTGTATCAATTAAAAGAAACATGTTTTCTAGTGAAGGTTGGACTTAATTTAGCTCTTATATATACTCTGTAGCTAAATAAAATACACCGGTTCTACACGCTTTTTCCCCTTCTACCGATCACTAAACATTATGTGGGAGAAGTGAGTGGCCGGACAGAAGCAGGTTGTCACTGCTGTATTCTACTATGCTTATAAAAAGAATTTATAAATAAAACCATTAAATTGTAATGATTATGGTTAATCTATTACAACTCAGTGCTTGTTCCAGACAAAAACCTAAGACTTAAAGCAACATAATGGCACACTACGTTTCACGAATGAGAATTTTTTGTTAATCCAATTAATACATACATGGCACATTTCAGAGGTTTTGTTTTTTTACTAAGATTAATAAATTTAAAAAAAAGTTTCCTAGATATATGAAGAACCATGACAAATTAGATAGGTATCATCACAGTTGTACTAGTTTAGCGCAGTAAATATGCATCTCCTTCACCTCCGGCTTATATTGTAGTTCTTCACTCCTCATTGGTTGATTTTGTTCTATGTTAAATATGTGTGTATATGATTGACAGCCAATAAAAAGTGGAGAACAAAGATAAAGGTGAAGTAAAGATCGGAGGATATCAAAATACTGCGATGATACCTATCTAATTTGTCATGTGAAGAACTGAAGGAATTAAAATAGTTAAAATTAATACAAATTAAATACCTCTATAAATGTTTCAAATTTTAAGTTGAATGAACTTAAGTTCCTTAATAATTGTACATATACCCAATATTACTTAATTAAATGGTTTTACCAATACTGGGTCATTAGTTATGAATAAATGTAATAAAAATTACAACCATCGCGCTCTTCTCTAAAATATGTTATCAATTAAGCACAATTTTTATGAACATAAATAAAATGTTCCATGTAAAAGTTAAAAGTTCTTCATTATAATTTGATTAACTTAACCTTAAAATAAGATTCTTCATAAATGTACCTACAGAATATAATTAAAACAAAATATGTATATATAAATAGGATACACAATTAAAATATATAATAATTAACTACTTAAAAATGAAATAATATGTTTAAATATTATTCAACTATGGCAATATAAACAAACAATAACTGTTATTAGAAATATGAGTATATTAGAACAAAATCACATAATCTAATAAGTATGATGTTATCCTGTAATACATTTTTAAATAATAATATATAAAATTACCAGACTGATTGACATAATATAAAATATTTCAGATGCCTTTATTTAACATGAAGGAGCATTATTCGCTGCATAATATTATACAATATTATAACATACATTTGTGTAATGATTATTATTGATTAGTATTATATCATGTTTTATCTTCTAACTTCTTATGATGAGTCTTAACCGTTTCTGAAGGCCAAAATATACTTTCTTTTATAATTAAATAACATTATTATGGAATATAAGCACGTAATATTGGTTCAATATTATATCAATATTAAATACTTCGAAAAATAATCTTGTGAATATTTAAATTTTATTCACTAAATTAAATTTGTTTTCTTCAAAAGTACTCAGTGATGTTGAACTCTACTAATTATACAAATGATAACATAAATTTGCACTTCAAAATATTTAATAATAATTAAATATTTTTAAAATTATTTAATAATCTGCCAACTATTATTACATTTTGTAGCAATAATAAAATATAAGTAAGCAGCATCTATAATACAATGGTCAGTGACATAACTAGATAAAAATCTATGGGGGGGGGGGGGCAAAAAAATTAATCTCCCGTTTGGCCGTTCCTGTAGTCATAATCGCGATTTCAAGATAATAACATGTTGACGAATCAAGGATAATAATAGTCACGAATAATGCGATTATTTCGATAACAGTAACACTGACAATACGTCAACATAATATTATAACATAAGAGAAACCTAAAATAAATATAAACTTTTATTAAGTAATTATTGAGGAAAAAAATATTTTAATATTATGTTAACAGACTTGTTAAGAATACTTTTTAAAAGTGGATTATTTCTGGGGGGGCAAGTGGCCACGCAACTGACAATGGTCAATTTGTATATTTTGTAATACTTGGTAAATCTTGAACAAATTTTGTAAGTCATATCCAAGTAACAAATATTACATACATATAATATATTATTGAAGTGATTATAATTATTATATACATAAGATAATATATAATATATTAATACCACTTTTCATCCGATATAATATTTCTAACTAAGTTTATTCATCTGAAATTAAATTCTATTAATTTATATAACTAGTGAACTATAAAAATGTTAATGGAATGGTTCATACCCAGCCCTAACACTTTAAATATGTCCTATCTACTGAACATTTTTCAAACTAATTTAATTTATTTTTATTTGGAAAACAAATTTACATACTATTAAAATATAACATAATATAGACTGACAATTTTTTTTATAATATCAAATAAAATCAATGATTAAACTAAAATTTAGAAATTAATGTTTGTAAATATATTTTTTAAGTGCAAAACATATAAGAAATATTTAGTAATCCTAATAATTGTTTTTTTTTTTTACATAAAAATAGTGAAATGTCTACATAATGATGAGTTGTTTTTATGAAATTTGAGTTTTTTTGGTTTTCTGTGTAAATTACATTATTCTTATTACTATTATAGTTACAAAGACTTTTTGTTCGGTAAATTCATTCAATGTTGTGTTTAGCATTAATGAAATAATCCTGCTTCATGTTTAATGAAGTATTCTAAAAGGTTAATGAACCTTGAGAGGCATGGTTAACAATTGTATATAAATTGACCTGTTGTGTTACAAGGGAAGGGTAAAACAAGTACTGTAGATTTCCGTTGCATTCTACCCTAGGGGACCAGTAAAAAACATTAAACTGAACCATTAACGATGCTTGACAATAATAGTCAGGTTCAGTTACAACTTATCCGACCCAACAACATCGTTCTACTAAATGTTGGTTTTTAAATTTCAATTTAATTAAAAATAAAAGTTGTTTTAACAATATACCACATATAAATAAACAATATGTATATTGTATACTATTTATAAAAATATATAATGCTTATCTATATTGCCTGGCACAAACATCATCATACCAAGAATATGTTCCTAGAAGCTATAACATTTTAATTCTCTACTTAATATTTCAATTTTCAATGTAAGATGTTATTAAAATCAATTAGAACTTTGATATTCAACATTTATGAAATATAAAAAAAAATATATCATGTTTTTTTTTTTAACATCAAACCTACACTACAATATAACTAATACAAACATTGTTATAAAATTGTCCAAGAATTGATTAAGCTCATCAATATTAAAAGCTAAGAATAAAACTTTAAAAAAATACCTACAAAATAAATATACATAATATAAAAATATATTGCTCCTTCACATTTTTATTTGAATTACTCCTCTATGCCTATCGAGAATGTCTCTTTCAACAGATATACAGTATATTTGCAGTAGAAATTTAGGCATTCGTTTAGCGTGAGTCCTACCGGCTATTTTAGTGTTTAGTGTGTGAACTACCAAGAAAAAATACAATTTACATAGGTAAAAAAATGTAATTAAAATGTAAAATATTGAATAAAATAAATTATTATTGTAAAAATAATCATCCAAAATTAAAATATCTTTTATTATATCTTTCAAAAATAATATGAAAAATAATAATAATTGTTATGGAATCTTTTATAGTGCTATAATAGATCTTAAATAATTCGATACAATTTTTTTAAGATAATGAAATTTTATATTAACCATGAACATTTGTTGGGTTTTGTACAAGCCCCATTTTTTAGGATTCACAAAATGTTCTGAATGATGATCAGTTGAAAATGAAAAAAGGTAATAGTTAAAAAAATATAGCCAATATCTTTCACACTGCGGTATAGTTTTCATTCAACAGATATTATAGTAGTATGCGGTCTTAATTCCTCAAGAAACACTCTAACTTAAGCCTCTACCTATTATTATCATTTAATATAAAATTGTAATAATTAATTATCACACTAAGGGCCGTTCTTACAATGTCCGGTAAAGTGTCGGTTAACGCTAACCAACTGATAACAGATTTTATTACCGGCAGAATTATTCCGGTTAAGTGTCGGTTAACTTTAACCGGACGTCGTAAGAACGGCCCTTAATGCGTCAAAATGTATTAATTATCCTTCATCTCTAGGTATAGATAGCAACTAGCTAGGAATACCTTATTGTGATAAAAAAAAAAAAAGAAAAGATAATTGGAATCAATATATTTTTATCTCAATTTATCCTATAAAATTACGGTTGATTATTTTGGCCATGTAGATTAAACGCTTAACGAATGCCCAAATTTAATTATCTGAAAAACTTTTTAGTTAGGTATCTTAAAGTATAATACATTATTTACCAATAATTATAAATTTGTGGTAAAGTTAGGTAGTCAAAAAACATCAAAATCCATTAAGTTTCAGACAATTAAGATTCTACTGCACTAAAATTAGCCTAATTAAGGTCAATTGGTATAACATAGCCTCCTTATTAAGTTTTGGGCTGATGTAATTACTGATCAAATGATTGAGAATTTAAGCGGATCAGAACCGATCAATTTTAAATGAGCTTTAAATTACTACAGAGTAACTTGAATCCGCTTACATATTCACATTTCATTTTTGACCAGATTTATATAACCACACAAACAGCGCGATTAAAACACCAGCCCTACACATTGTATGTGTATAGTTTTTTCTTGATTCGGTTATCAAGAATTAAAAAAAAAAAAGAAAAAAGAAAAATAGGCTATATTATATTACGTGCCTTGAAAATCATCCGACGTGCTCTGTTTTCTTTGACATTAACCCGACCGGCTGAGCGAGTAGATACAAGACCATCGAAGGCATCAATACAATAACAACCAGTCTGGAATCTGGGTTCCACGGTCTGATTTGCTTTCTTTACCGCAACTTACCCAAACCACGAGCAGCTACATCAGTTGCCACCAGAATATTTGCTTGGCCAGAACGAAATTGATTCAACGTGTGATCGCGTTCATTTTGAGACTTATTACCATGTATTCCAATGGATCTCCATCTTGAGATTTCATAATGATTAACATAATTAACATAATATTACTTATTAATTTATTATACATAATATAATTTATGCAAGGCGATTATTTGAAACATAACACACTCATTGTTTCAGTTGATTGTTGTAATTATTAGGTACCATAATGATCTATTATTTTTAGTAATACCAATAACTTTATTTTTCTAAATAACAAAAAAATATTATTGAATATTTATACATTTTGGATTAAAACATAGAATAAAAAACACCAGTTGTAATAAATGCACCAATTCTTATAGTACAAACAATGAAAAATAAGCAATGATTGTTGTTACAGCATTTTCACTATATTCAGAGGTTCTACAATTAGGAGTAGATAATATTATGCTATATATTAGGGTTTGCTTTTGCAAATTTTAGATATCATTCGATTGTGCTGATAGGTTAGCATCTATCGCATACAGGTGATAACTGAACACTGGTGCTTCAGCACTATCTACGTAAAATGGGAAAGACTAGCCGACACAGTTAAAACTACAAAACACCACCAAGCAAAAAAGATGACGTTAAGAACATTTTCAGTCCAAATGGCCCAAATGGAGATCTCATTGAAGACAACTGGGAAGCAACTGTTTGGCAATCAGAGTTCAAATTTAGGTATCAGAATGGCCTTCAACAACAAGGATGTAACAAATAACAATGCATATACTGGAGGAAGAATCAAAGAAGTAAACTAAAGTGGCAGACTATGAATACCAGCTTGAAAAGAGGATAATAGATGATAATACAAAGACATTTCAACTAACCCTTTTTAGGGAATGCAAAAATTACAATAACTAATATTTCTATATTAGTGGTTTTTATAGAAATGGGTGTATATTCGATATGTTAGTGTTTAATAAACAATGGTGTGCAGAACATTAATTACCTTGGTCTAGCACTTGGTCATTGGTTTGAAAAAAGGTGTGCTCTCATGGAATTAATGCAGATGTTATTCAATAATTATTCATCAAATTATGAGATTACATTTTTATTTTTTTACTTATGATAATGCCTTTCACTTAAGCGGGATAATTATACTAACTGGTCGTGACTTACTTTTGGTTGGCTGTATTTAAGTGCTAGAAATCATTATTTTACTATGGAAATCTTTAGAATTTGTCATTAGTCAACTAGCGAAAATTGAGTGTTTTAAGTCAAAAAAATTACCAAGTATATATTATTAGGAAATAAAAATATTTTACCCATTCCGGTTTACTAATTTCACAATATTATCAACAGAACGTTTAGTTTCTACAAAAATTATAGTTTTGTTATCTGGTTGAGAAAATATGTCTGTTAGCAAAGCATATAGTCTGAAAAAAATGAAAATGAAATTATTTTCAAATAATATTTTATTATTTTATAACTCTTATACAACTTACTTTTGTTCTTTTTCATAATCATCACACACGTCAACTACTTGCGAGATATTATGATTGGCAGACAAATTTAAAGATCCAACATTCACTTGTATGTAATCATCCAAAAACTCTTCAGCTAAATTTTTAACTTCAGGAGGCCATGTTGCTGACCACATCAAAACTTGACGATCCGGCTGTTAAAAATATTGGTTTATATAATTGTATCATAAGATGTAAATACAAATTAAAGTTAAATATTTTTACCCTGATCTGTTCAATAATTTTACGTATTTGAGGCTCAAAGCCCATATCCAACATACGATCAGCTTCATCTAGTACTAAATATGTGCATCGTTTTAAATTAGTTGTGTTCCTTTCCAAGAAGTCAATAAGTCTTCCAGGTGTTGCAATTACAATTTCTACACCTCGTTCTAAATCATCAACTTGAGGACCTTTGGGAGCGCCACCAAATACACAAGTGTTTCTAACAAACGTAGAGGTGCCAAATGAAACCGCTACTTGTTGAATTTGCTGAGCAAGTTCACGAGTAGGTGCTAGTACTAAAACAATAGGACCATCATAACGTAAGAGACGAGGCTGATGATTGATGTGTAATATTGCCGGCAACATATACTAAAAATATTAACAGGAACAATAATTACTAAGAATAAATACAAAACTATAAAAATTAAATTAAAAAAGAAATATAGGTACATTTAAAAAAAAGAAATTAGTTCTCAACTTACAGCAAGAGTTTTTCCAGAACCTGTTTGAGCTATTCCAACCATGTTTCGTCCACTCAACGCAATTGGCCAACTAACTGCTTGAATGGGAGTTGGATTGTTAAATCCTTGTTTTCTAATTATTAAATAAATATATATCATTCACAATAGTCTTAATAGCTTATTACCTAAGTACTTACTTTACTTCATTAAAAACATAGTCTGGAAGAATGACTTCGTTGAAATTCATTATAGGATCTGGGATATTACTACCAACATACGAAATTTCTTTATCCCTAACATAATTTTCCACTTCTAGCCTAGGACTAAATATGAACAAATTTTAGAAATAGAATAAACTTTATATTTTTATATTATAAATATTGAATACATACCGGTTTAAAACTAATGAATGAGGCGTATAAAAATTTTTTTGGAAAGGTTGAAGTGTCTCATTTTCCCATTTAGGTTTACGTAGAGCCCCTCCAGGTTGCTTACTCTTTAAGCTATTAAAACTATTTCCTCCACCTCCTCCTGGCCCACCTCGTCTGTATCCATCACTATCTCCACCACCACGGCTACCAAAACTTGAGCCACGGTTGCTATAACTTTCGCTTCTGTTCATACTGCTTCCTCTTGGTGCTCCTCGACTACCACCACCATAACTCGCTCGCCTCATTGAACTGCCGATAAATTGGGTATCAGCTTTCTGTTATAAGATTTCTTTATCCTGGATACCACGATTTCCTAGATTATTTTAGGGCACATTTTATTAACAATTTTGGCAGAACTTAATATAATTACAATTATCACACATGAAATCATGAAACTTAAATATAAAACTTATATATATAACAAAAAAAATAGTAATTTAAGTTTTAAACTATAGACTTTAAACTAGGTAAAAGAAAATACTAAAATAAGAACTAAACAAATAAGTTTAATTTATTCATCAAATAGGTATAACAATTTAGTAGGATTTATCACTTTCAAGAAAATACTAAATGCAAATGTTTGTCTTACGTTATACCATACCCCTTAATAACTTTACTATAGCGATTGAAATTATTGTCAAATAGCTATTAAAAATGTATATTTTATAAACATAATATTATTAATGATTTATATATAAAAAAAAATATATTTTTACTAGAAAAATTAGTATTGTATGCAATTTTAATGTATGCTATTACATCTAAAATATTAGTTCATATGGAAGTGGTAGAATAAGTAATTTACAAAATAGATACCTTCTAAATATCTATACCTTCCTAATTAGTCGGGTATTTTTTTATCAAATATAACTTGTACAGTGAACTCTTGATCATCCTTGGTCTCTACAGTACTAAAAATGGTGTTTATGTACAGTATATGTTTTTGAGAAAATAAATGTAAATGTTATAAATATTTTATGAATGTTTAAATAAAAATACAATGTGTACTTATCTAATTTATATTTTGTGGATTAACCCCAGAATTAGATTATCTGTAGTTGCTGTGCCACCATATTCCACAGATAATCGAGTTTACTGTACAAAGCTAATGTATACACAACATTACCATACGTCCCTGCTAAAGAAATATGCGTTCCCCAAATAACTCGAAAACGTCCTGCTTTGAAAAATATACAATCTGCATTCTATCAAAAAAGATTTGAACTATGAATCTCCATTGGTAAAAATGATAGAATAATAATTAAATATGTGATCGTATATGACCGTTTTGACCACTCTCGTATATAATATTACCTATATTATATACTATTTAGATTTTAGGTACACAATCACCAATAATATAGCAGCTGAAAATTGTTGGGTGAAAGTATTTCAAACTTTCATGCTATTGAGCTTAAGCACTCAAATATTCACATAAATGTAGAGTAAGAACATTTTTTGTCTGTCAGGCTAACTAACATTTAAAAGTAGATTTACTCATTTGAAAAAAAATATAGTAAACTAACCAAAAAAACAGCTTAAGATTTATTCTATTTTAATTTTCTAGTTTTTAATAAATAGACATTAATCATAAAATATTATTTCTCTAATTTGTTTTATTATGTTCTTCTGCGTTTTACTAAGTATATTATTTTTACTATTTTCATTTTACGCAAACAATAATAAGAAAATTATAAAAATGTACCTAAGTGTTTTTCCGATTAAAATGTATAGGCATCCTGATCCGAGGAGAAAAAATTATGGTCTCATTATGTATACATCGAATAATTTTTGTTCCCTATTATCTTCATGAAGAATAAATTTAAATTAAAATTAAAAATTCATAATATGCAGCAAATAGGAGATAGGTACAGAGTTGAGTGATTTATGGCTGAGTAAATCATTACTCAAAGTAAAAATGCCACATCGCAAATTTATATTTATATTTTATAATTTTCATCAAAAAATTGTAATTGTACTTTATCTTCATAAAATATTATATTAGTTTAGTTTACTTGATAAATTTAATATTTTGCCTAAAATAAGCAACATTTATAAATTTACAATTTGTAATGTTGAATGTAGTATGCCGAAGATAATATAATTTATACCTAATTAAATATCAATTGGTTTTGATTTTGACCCCACCCAAAATGAAGGTATATGCATAAACATAATATTAAAATATTTTTTAAAAACAAAATTAATAAAATAATTGAAGCAGAGATTCAATTTTATTCTAAAAACTGACAGAATGATTATAATTAAAAATGATTGTTAGATTTCGCTAGTTAGTAATAGTAAAATGTCCATCTGTAGTAAATATGTTTACAATGTTCACCTCAATATTGGGTATTTATATATTCAAACAGTCTTTAAATATTTCTATACACACAAATACCGTAGGCAACTACTTCTTTGACTAGTTACACAATTGTATAGGAGGATCATGACATAAACCACAGACATTAACTTAATGATGGACTTACAAATCATGGATAAAAACGTATATACTTACGTGTGGATATCTTGTATGCGAGTCTATTTAAACGAGTATATACTATTTAACAAAACACAGTAAATTAAATATTTTATATGAATAAATGATAGGTATGATACCTATATAAGATTGTCAAAAGCGAAACGATCGAAAAGCTCAAAAGCCATTCAAGCTTGTAGCACAACAAAAACTGTATAGTTGTTCCGTTCGGCGTTCGTAGTTCTTACTTCGTTGCTCTGTTGCTGTTGCACTAAAAAAGAAAATTATCAATTATTTCGACAAATGGAAAAAAAAATGTCGAATGACGCCAACAGAATATATTATTTGGTAAACACTGTTGACGTAAATGTTGTATAGAAACTCCCTGGACTATGAAACGCGTGACCAACATCGACATAATAATATTATTACGGTGATCGATTATTACATTCGCGCTATTTTGGCTTTTAAGTGGCGGCTATTTTCTGTATCAAGCTCTAGAGAGTCTACATAACTCGGACCAAGACATGAATAATATACATCTTAATTCGTAATACAGAACAAATAAACTGTAGTTATATAGAATTGTACATAAATAGTGGTGGATTTAAGACTGTATTTAACGAAGCAAATACAGGCATTCACTGAGTACTAGCTGGCCAGCGTGAGCCCCTTGACTAGGCCACTCAAATTTATTTTATCTAAATCAGAACGTAATAGTATTCCATTTAATTGATTCTAGGATATATGTGTTATGTGTGCATCGATTGTGAATTACCACAAAAAAATAATTATAATAACTGCGCGTAGTTAAGTATTAAGAATTAAGTATGGAAAATGTATACGCATATATTTATTTTTATTTTATAGTAGATAAATGTGCTTTGCCAGTGTATTTAATTAATTCTATTGAGCTATGTGTTAGGTAATTATTTACATATGTTTTTAATAAGTACTTCGTACGCGTTGAGTTTGTAATTTTTCATTTTATTCGAAAATAGATGGTTTGTTTTGAGAACGATATTCAATTCAGTCAGTAATTTTTATATAATACAACTTGTGGTCTTGTATTTGTTTTTTATATGCCATATTTCTACTCATTATAGTAGTCATATAATCTGTGTAATCACTGACATTAAACCAATACGAATCTAGGAAAAAATTCCCAAAGCTATAGACTATACCTATAACTGTAGTATACAGCTGTCAAAAATTATAATTAATAATAATAAAAAAATATAAAATTGAAATGATAATTATTATATTACTATATTATTTTTATAATATTGATAAATAGGTATAGGTATATTATACTTTATGATATTGCTATATAAATATAAATAAATAATAATAATAATAATAGTACAGTAGTGGCGCAAACAGGATTTTTTCAAGGGTGGTGTCCGCGAGTAGCGTACACAGTAGTTCCCCAAATTTCAGATGACTATTAATTAATATTCATTGAAAAGTGTATACCGGTATACCCAATATATTTAAAAATGCATATAATATATTGGATCTAGATAGTACCTATTGTCCATTTGTCCATGTATACTATGTAAACAGTGTACATTGTTTACAAATTACGACTTACGAGTATAAATGTTAAAAGTTTAATAATAATTTATAACAATTTACAAAAATTTTGAAATCAACATAACGTCCATGGCCTCCATATCTTCCAAAACCTAAACTCATTATTATTTCAACTATTAAGCTTATTATAATATTATACTTATATAATATTTACCTTATTATAGTAGACGAACTTAAATATCAATAACTCAAGACTCAAAACTACACTTTCGAATTTAGATTCTGACATGTCAATATTTACAGAAAATTATCAGCTAAATAATTAATAGCTTAACGCTGTACGCTGTGCGCTCTTATTTGGTACAGAGTATAGATAAGGGTGGTTTTCACAAAAAATCTCAAAAATTGGAAAATATGATAATAAAGTATAATTATTAAAAATTCCAAGAAATCATATTTTAAACAAGTACATTATTGAAGAAAAAAGGGGGGGGATCATGGTTGCCGAATCACCCTGTATACAATAGGATCCTCATAAGTTGTTCATATAGAAATAAAAAAAAAAGTTCAACCGATATTTGCTATCAAATCGATTCTATATTTATTTACTTATATCACAAATCTATTTAGCCGTTCTACGGTAGGTAAGTCGGTATTAATTAAAACTCTGAAAAATGAATAACAATGATAAATTATCTAAATAACATATTAAAATGTACACCTACTAAATTATAGTAATGATTAATATAATAATAAATAAATTCTATATTTTCTTCAAAAATTAATTTAATTTCTATGGGTAATTTCTACATGGGTAGGTAGGTACTTAAAAAAATATTTTTCTTAAAAAACAACAAAAGTTGTCGTGTGTACTTTTATGCACTAAAATGTGCCAAAGTATGACATATTATAATATGCAGTCAAAAGGTAATTTTCGATATTTTGATCAATTTGGTCAACATTTGATCTTTTAATTTTAAATTGGTACTCATAAAAAAAACCGCACATATGGATCTATAATATTAAATCTATAATACAAATTTTATCAACTGCCATTATATAACAGCGTATGAGGAACCTTGCATTCAATTTTTTACACACTGAATAAAATGTTATTAACATTTATATAAAAAAAAACGATGAAAAACGGGTAAGTGGATGTGTCGATCTGCTGTACTGTAGGTTACTAGTGGGTCATTGTGTAAGGATTGTATTAAACTTGAATTCAAT